TTCACTCTAACAAACTAGACAGCAAATCACCGAGAGCTTCACCACATTGCAATAAAAATAATACAGAGAACTATTTTTTCTGTGTAACCCATGAAAGCAATTACCTTAATAGTAGTTCCATGTTGCTGTTTGATTGCGTTTGGAGCTTCTCTCAGTTTGATTGCACTCGTACTGCAAGAAGGTAATGGTTCAAGTTTCGTATTCTTGCCATTGTAATCACCAAACTCAGAATGATTGTGATTTATGCATCCACCATCTATGCCTCTGTGGTCACCCTTCTGGTTAAAGAATCCATCATCTATACCCTCACAATTACCTTGTTTAGGTTTAGAAGATTCATGGTTTACACCTTTACGGCCTCCATAGTTGTTATTAAAGTGCTTCTGGTCTTTGCCTCCATGACCTCCACGACTTCCATGGTTGTTTAAAAGTTCATTATTATCCATACTTCCACAGCTAGCATGCTTGTTAGTGGGTTCACCACCTTTGCCTCCTTGATTGTTTTTAATGCGTCCACCATTTCTGCATCCACGAACTCTACGGGAGGAGTTTCCTTTGGAACCTATATTGGAGACAGAACAGTTGTTGGAATCTCCAAGCTCTTTCCCAATTCCATCTTCAAAGAGGTTATTATCATCTCTACCTCCACTAGAGGAATCCCCACTGCACCACTCCTTAAAGCCAAAATTGTTGTTGAAATCTCCAAACTCTTCGCTTGTTCTATTTGCCTCCATAACCTACAAGAGTTATTACTAATTTACAACCATGAACCTTCAATTTATGTTCATCCAACCAATTATAGTTAAGCAATTCATTTAGTCTACATAGAGCACCTTTAGAAAAGGTTATTTGCCCTAAACGCGTGAATCTTGGTTAAATTTTCTGAGTTTGTGAATTACATCTCAGCTAAATAAGTCAAAAACTATTTATTTTCCTCATTGTGATTACTGGTAACCAGAATAAGCTTAATTAGGCTTCCAAACGGGCTCTAAGATCCTCTAACACTAGCCACAATATGATCAAATTTCTTAGGAAAACTCCAATATTTTTTCAGGAATCTTTTTTCTAACAGAACTTCACCATATTCTTTTATTTGATTAACAATCTCCATCATAATTCATGTTCAACAAGTAACTATTCAGAAGTGTAAACACAATTTGGAATCATTAGCCTAAAAATCATGAAGCTTCACTGGAAGTTCATACCTTGGCATTACATTGATATCCCTGGTCTAGTGCATCCCAAGTAGTTTCTTTTGATTCAGTTGCATCAGCTGGGCAAGACCGAACTGATTCATCCTCAAGTTTCTTTGGGTTGGATTGCTCTTCATTACCATTGTACTTCTTTTGCAGTGCATCCCAAGCTTCTTTTGATTTCTGGGCATTAGCAATGCAAGAGAAAACAGATTTATCTAGAGCTTGTTGGATAAAAAACAAAGCAGTGGCATCCTTCTTCCGCAAATATAGTAATTCCTCAACAGTAAGTTCTTCTTCATCATAGCCTCCTTCCACCAAATCCCAAAGATCTTGGGACATAAACATAGTCTTCATCATGATGCTCCATATCTCGTATCCACTCCCATTGAATGGCGGAATTCTACTCAACAAGAACCTTGACATTTTTTTTCATTTTACACAGCAAAAAAGGTTAACACACGTAAACCAAAACTCAATGCAATTACTCTATAACACTAAGGGTTGGTGGCTAGATAAATTCCTTCCAACTTTTTCTATGATTAGGTTTTCAAAAGTGCAATTACTCAAAGTAAGAAAGAATTCATTGCGATTTATAGATGCTGTACTTATGAATCTGAAATTCCGCATGAAAAGAAACGATAGAAGTTCGGATCATACCCAATATCCGCAGTATTTACTTTGGTTTCAGCTTCAACTTTTGACCCCCGGTTGAAGAATCTCAACTGCTCTGCGGCTCCGGCTATGTCAGCCATTTCTTGCTCTTTAAACCTGCAACGAATTAGCGATGAACATGGATATGGATATGATGCCGAGCGCAAAAGAGTTCATTTAATTGTAACGATTGAGTTGCAGGAGTCGATGAACCTTTGATAGTGGTCAGTGTCTCGAGATTTTTAGGCGGAAACAGAGATCCTAATCCCTATGTGGGTTTTATATTTTAGCTGCAATTATTCTGTCCGTCGAAGAAACCCTATGCTCTTCTTCATGAAGAGACTTCTCGTATTCACTCCCCAAAAGGTGAAATCGCTCACCGGGCGCTCCTCACTCCGACCCGACGGGATCGGGATTGTAAGTAAGAGGAGGTAAATAAAGGTGACCAAGTACAACACTTAGCTATTAGCTAGACCACATCCTCACAACGGTCGCTGCCAGGTTTTGATCCTTGGTCATTCTCCAAACTTCACCAAGTGCTTGCCACAATATTCTGTCCGTCGAAGAAACCCTATGCTCTTCTTCATGAAGAGACTTCTCGTATTCACTTTTTCAAAGAGAGGGAGGAAGAAACCCTATTCTCCAAATGGGAATCACAATGAATCGAATTTGAATAGGGTTGATGTTGGTTGTAATTTCTAAAGGTGTGTTTGGGAATAATGTTAGAGATTAGCGTAAGTGTTGGATAAAATTTTAATGGTGGAGATTGCTTTGAAAACCCTAATGCTAAACGCTGCCAGTAGATAGCCTTTTCAAAACGCTAATGCTATTCCCAAACAGGCCCTAAATGATCAACTGAATGTGTTGTGTGATCGTTAAAAAAAATCTAGTAAAATTAATTGTTTACAAGTAACTATTTCAAAATTTAAAACTAAAAATTGTATATATACATGTAGCAGACACATTTTATTTGTAACAAAATAAAAGTGATGAATACCCTAGACATGAGGGCATTCGATCTTTGCATAGTGTTAGTTAAGGCGGTACAACCTATAAGACCAACCCATTAATCGTGCACTGATTAGTTATTTGAGCGATCCAGTTTATTGGACCAGCCGATTAGTTTTTATATAAGGTTTGAATCTAAACTTTAACTTTAAATTCTCTTATTTATACATCCTCTTAGAGAGGGGAGGAGAACACATTCATTACACACACATTCATTCAGTATCCTAGACCCAAGTTTCCATCAAAAAGCCATTTTTGTTTTTTAATTTTTCTCCATATAAAAATTAAATTTTTAATATATTGAATTAAACTTTTATATGAGTCCTAAAACATTAATAATATAGAAATTTTTAGTAAGGTACGATAAGATAGTTGAATGAAACAATATCAATAATGTGAGTTTATTTACCACTAAGCCAAATTTAGAAGGAACAAGTACATTTTTTATTTTTTCTATTTTTATTTTTATTTTTTGTTTTCTCATTTCATTTTTTTATATTTTAATTTTTTAATTTTAAAACTTAAATTTCTTAATTTTATTTTTAAAATTTTTATTTCTACTTTTTTTACATAAATAAATAAATATTTATAAAGAAAAATCATACAAAAAATTTATTTTTCCTAATAGAAGCCCAAAAGCTACTCTTAATGACATTTTAGGTTTTTGGCTTTTCAAACCAAACAGCTAAGTGAAAAAAGTCAATTGTCAACTAATGATTTTGGTTGTTTAATTAGTCAAAACAAGTCAAAGAAATCAAAAGCCAATTGAAAAGTCATTTTTCAAAGACACCTTAAGAGCATTTTCAATGTGCCACAACTTCTACAGCATCAACATTCCACTAACTTTCAGTCCCACCTCAAAATCTTGCAATGCTATCGCCCTGAAAACCTGTCTCTCTATTTTTTATATTATTCATCATTTTTAATTTAATTTTTTTTGACATAATACATATAATTAAAATAAAAATGCTAATATTGACACTCTTTATTAAAAAACATCAAGATAAAAAATGAAATACACCAAATATAATTAAATTTTAAAAAAAACGAAAAACATTGAAATAAAAGACGAAATAAATGAAAAAATTAGTGTTACAATAAATTATTGTTGCACCTTCAAATTTCTGCGATCAAATCATCTTGGAGGGTAGCACGATTTCGTTCATCTCGCAAACATGCAATCCAATTTGCAAAATCTTGTAATTCAGAAGGTGACCCTTGAGTCGTTAGACCTTGGCAAACAGTGGCCCTAGAGGTGGATGCGAACCCCTTATATATAAAATGATTGTGTTGGCTCCTTCGTCTTCAACTATCATGTTATGCAATACAATACATGCAAACTTGATGTTTGAGAAGACTGAGATGAACGATTGGCACCAGGGTGTGTGGGGCCTTACACCATCGCCCCCCGCGATTGGAACACTCGGAAGGCACGTTTCACATCTTTCAGTGTCGATTTTTGTTTATGCGTGAACAATGCCCTCTTTGGATTTGTCGGACACATGATTATTTTCACAAACACAAGCCAACGTGGATAGATCTCATCCACCAAATAGAATGTGCAAATTTTGGTTCCTGATATTCTAAGTTGTGTACATGAACTTTTTTTGTATCTCTTTTAGCAATCATGTTCCCCAACATATTTTTCAAACTAAAAAACATAAGTTTGAAGGAAAACATAAATCATTGTAAAAGGATGTTTACTTTTTAATATAAAATAGGTCTAACATGTTTTTTTTATATTTTCGATACAAAAAACATCGAATTTGAAAGACACATTGGTTACGAGTATATTTCGGGTCTATTCGTTAGGGTTGAAAAAAAGTTTGATGTTGGAAAAAATTGGAAGAAACTGGAGAAACTAGAAAAAACTGAAAAGAATTAGAAGAAAATGAAAAAATGAAAAAAAGAATTGGAAGAAACTAGAAGAAAAATTAAATGAAATTAGAAAATTTTGAAAAATTGAAAAATCTAAAAAAAACTTTAAAAATTGTCATTATTATCAATTTATTGTTATAATTTATTATTATTGGTATTATTAGTATTGTTATAAAATTTATAATCTTATTATTTTAATTAATTTCTTTAAAATTAAAAAAGTTATCACTTTTTATACAAAAAAAAATCTACTTTAGCAAATTCTATTTGTATTAAGTTATTAACCCAGTCTTCTTCTGCTGACAAGAGTGGAAGCCGCTTCTTCCTCTTTGGTTCTTCGCCGCCATCATCCCCGTCGTCCTCCTTCTCCTTCCTGGTGCATCGCAAATCAGGCGAGAGACCAGAGGCAACGGCGATTCTGCACGCAAGATTTTACTTCGTCAATTGGGTCGAGGTGGGTGTGGTTTAGAATTGATTCCTAAATTAGGGTTCGTTCAATATACTTTGAATTTGTGAATTTCATTATTGGATTGTTTTGATTATTGGATGGTTAAATTGATTATGTTGAATATAGGATTTCGGAAATTGGAAATAGAATTGGATTTGGTAATCCGGATTATAGTTTGGGTTTGGGGCTGTTCCGTTTTCTCCTCCTAGGTTCTGCCTTGCTCTGTCTAGTCGTTTTCTCTTTCTTTTCTCTCTGTTCTCCTCCATGACTTTCTGCTAGCAAGCCGTTCCTGCTGCCCGGACGCTACCACCTCGATTTGAGGGTGGTCTATTGTGTCAAGGGGTTGCTACCGGTCGCACCGTTATTTTAATTTTCATCTCCTCCATCTCAGTTCCTCATTCAGTCATTCGCATTCTTGCGACTGCCAGGCTGCAACCCTAATCGTCGGTGCCAATCAAAAGAAGCTTCGCGTAACCCTAATCGCCGGAGCCATTCTTTCAAACGGATTGCAGCTTTGCATCGTCTCAGGTTGAATTTTGCACTGTCGTTGTTGTCTTGCTGTTGTGTTTTTTACTCTGTTATAGAACTGAATTTTAGGAAAAGTTTTCTCTCAAAAGCCATGGATTCTTGCTCTGGTATCTCTTTTCTCTTAGAATATCAGTAACCAAACTTTGCAAATTTGCTTTACACACAAATCACGCTTAGAGATTTACACGAACTCGATGCCAATCATACGCAGACATTGAAATTGAATTACTCACTTACACCACTAACCGGCAGTTCGTTTATGAAATTTCTCAAAAATGCAATCTTTAACAATAAAATAGGGGAAAAAATAAATGTGTCTGTATTGAGATTACAACCATCCATGTTTGGGTAACCCTACATTTGACATCACCTTTGATATCATAATTTTTCATGTTGAGATAACAACCATGTGGGGGGAACCACACATTTGACACCACCTTTGAAATCATTGTGTCTCATAGACACACAGAGATAGTTCCACGATGTCTCTTAGACACTATGGTATCAAGGGTTGTGTCAAATGTGGGGATTCCTAGATCTTTTGTTGAGATAATAAGGGATAAAAAAGAAACGTTTTTTTTGGTTTTAACCAAACCAGACTTGAAACATCTTGGACCATCCCGGACCACATTGGAGTCAATCAGATCCGGTTTCAGTCTGCCACTCTGTAAGATTCTGGTTTTCTGGTTCCAGTCCATTCCAGTCCGGTTTTGGATGGTGTGCACCCCTAAATTATGAGCTATGCTCTATGTAAACATATTTATACCATAATTCAAATTTTAAATGGTGTAGAAAAATTTAGTTTGTATAGTACTAATAAGATTTATCCGTGTTATTGAAAATTTACACTTGCCAATTTTTTTACAAATCATTTTAATGAAAAAAGTAATCATTTCTAGTTGCATAACATGGGATTGTAGGGAACATAATAGAAAGAGTCATGCTACTTTACTACCATTTTTTACATCACTTCTCACACCATGTTCAAAATTTGAAATTTTTGCATAGTTCAAAAATGAAGTTGTTGTAAGAAGTGATGCATATGTATACTCCCTTCGTCTTACAACTAATTTGACGGGTTAATTTCATTAAATTTATGTTAAGTAAAAATTTATGTTTAAAATTTATTTAGGAAAGAGAAATTTTAAGAGCGTAATATGCCAGAAAAAAAAGTTAAGTGTGGAGTATAAAATTTATTTTTGAATAGAAAAAAAAGAAATTTCAAAATTAATTGCGGAACAAAATGAATATTTTATGGTAGCTCAATGCTGGGAAAAACGAGTATAAAGTGAGACAAGTTTGAAACATGTGCCCAAGCTCTTTTTTTTTTTTTTGTAACTTCATCTGCTCATATGTAATCTTTCAATTTTGAATGTTTGAACTAAGTTATTTTTCAATTTGATCTACTTGTGTAAAATTAAGAAATACTCCGTAAAATGTTTATACATGTGTGTGTGTGTGTGTATTCTAAAACTACATCACAATCTTTATGCAATTTTTTTTACTATTTAATTTCAACAAAGGAATAAATATAGAGTATATTTGTGTAACTCAATTTCTCCCTTTACCTCATTGCAGACTAGGGCTCGTAGAAAGGAAAAAAACTAGAGATCGACACAGAGGGATAAAATACAGGAGCTCATGTAGGGTTTTGATTTTTTTTCCTTTGCTTTCTTCCTCAAAATTCCTTCCATTGTATGAAGTCCCCAGATTCTTAAGAATTTGTCCCAGGGTTTTTATTAGCAAGTTTTGTACAGTTTGTCAGTGCAATATTTTTGTGGATCGATAGCTACTGGCGAGCTCCTCCTCAAGCTCGTCAAAATCTGCCATGGTTTTGTTATCAAAACCTCCGTTTTTTCTCATTGCATTCTCCCTTTACATAGTCGTGCTCTGTTTGCCAACGCCAACAGCCGACCTTGGTGAGTCGAGCAACAACCCACCCCTCTGGTCTTCCGATCGAGACAACAATGCCATTTGCCATATTCAGAATTCTCAGTTTGCCTGTCCAATCAACTGTTTCCGACCTGACCCGGTTTGTGGTGTCAATGGTGTGACCTATTGGTGCGGTTGTGCCGATGCACATTGCGATGGCGTGGAGGTGGTAATGTTAGGGTTTTGTGACGTGGTGAATGGCAAATCAGGTCCCATCTCGGGTCAGGCCCTTTTGCTGGTCCACATTATTTGGCTCATTGTACTTGGGATTTTCGTGCTCCTTGGGCTTCTCTGATGCAATGAGGTTTTCCATTCTTTTGTGTTTCCAATTTACTGATTCACCACTTTACCTTTCACATGAGACTGTAGACTTTTGCACATCATTGATTCATCTGTATATGTTTCTTTGTAAAAGAAGGTCTTACTTTCCATATCTGGCTTCTAGATTCATAGATTATTCCTGGTCTTACTCTTGACTTGCGACTGAATCTGATCTTGTTGGATTCAACAACTGACTTTTTGTTCTCTAGTTTGAATTTGTCTATTGGCTGTGAGTTCTTTCTTGTGTTTAAATATTAATTTTGATTTTCCATAATCTTAGGTTTATTCCCCACATTAGAGAACAATGAACCAGGCGGTGCAGAAGAATACTTTGTACGTAGGTACGTTACTCCTTTCCGGTAGATTGTACTCCCTCCATCCCAAATTAAATGTCCACTTTGACCGGAGATGGAATTAAGAAAATTATTAAAAATGAAAGATGTGTGGTTGAAATTGATTTGAAAGAGAAAAGAAATGGCCTTTTATTTTGGGACATATGAAAAGAGAAAGTGAGGTACTTATTTTGGGAGGGTGACTATATGAGCATTGAGTAAGTATATGTATTGGTTTGAACACTGTACAACCATACATTTCTGCTTGTCAGGTGGATTGGCAGAGGAAGTGAATGAGGGGATCCTGCATGCTGCTTTCATACCATTTGGAGACATCAAGGATGTGAAGACGCCTTTGGACCAGGCAACACAGAAGCACCGATCTTTTGGATTCGTCACTTTTCTGGAGAGGGAGGATGCAGCCTCTGCCATGGATAATATGGACGGCGCAGAGCTCTATGGCCGAGTCCTCACAGTCAATTATGCTCTCCCCGAGCGCATCAAGGGTGGTGAACAGGGCTGGGCTGCCCAACCTAGTAAGCATCTGCAACCATTTCTCCTTTCTATTTTTCCTAGTTACAAGTATATCTTTTTAATTATCTTTAAATAAAGTTTCATTAGTAAATCTAACCATGGAACGTGGTGATAGCTAGTATGTGGCGCATGTCCTTCCTCTTTAGATGCTGTTTGATGGAGTTATCTAACTGTTCAGACTTCAGAGTTTTGTTGGTCATTGAGTTGCTTTAGAGGGGATATTTCAAAGTTAAAATAAGCTGCTTTGGGGACTAGCTGGATTTCAGAGGCCTTTTTAGTGATGACCAATATCTAATATGGCTCATTCTAGATCAATTGCACATTTAAAATTCCTCTGGCCGATTCAAGGAAACCAAAGAAAAGTTAAATGGGTCATGCTATAGTCACACCATGGGTGACACCAATCATGGGTGGGTGACATAGTTACACTATGTTTGGTTCAAGGAATTTGGGAAGGAAAAGAAAAGATAATGGTTTTCTCTCATTTTCCTCACCAAACCGAAAGGAATTTGGTTTTCCATTCTTAGTACATTTTGTCTTCTCATTTTCTTTCCCTTTCATTCTTCTTTTTTTCCCTCCCTAACCAAACAAGAAAAAAAATTCCATCTCATTTTCTTTTCTTTTTCCTTTCAAATTCCTTGAACCAAACATAGTGTTAGTGTCTCACACTGTGTGATTGTCTTTGATGGTGTCAGCCTTGATGTCATCATTGAGGTTGAAATAGCATCTTCCAAGTTAGTATACTGAATACCCCTTAGAAGCATATAGGAGATCCTATCTTTGAGAAAGCTTGTAATCTGTGGTTACCCACCATGCAAGATTTCCTGCCTTGATGTGCTGCTCTTATTGTAACCTGATGTGGTGTCCGGGGTGGATGTGAGGGTAGCATCTTTCTATTTGCCTTTGGAACATAAATTACTTTTCTCATATCTCATGGTTAGCATTGCAATAGGAAATTAGTTGCCTCATCTATAAAGTAATGGGACAGGATCCAAAGCAAGTTACACAAGGTATTAACTCTTCACTTTTATTTCTAGGAATATTTCTTTTATCCTGGTGTGGTTTTTGGCTTCATTTGTTTACAATTTAATGAAATCCTAATCCAAAACCACTTCGGCAAAATAAAAACCATATTATGTCTTTTTCCACAAAATGGAGTTGGCTATCACAAGGGTAACCCACTTATCACAAACTTAAAAACTTACTGATCATGTGAGACTGACTGAGGAGTGGTTGATGAGTTGATGTTTGGTGATTGATTCATTGGTGATGGTTTTGCAATCTTGATTCCTTTTGATTTCACTTTTACTCAAACATGCTGATGAAGATGTTTGATTCATAGGTGTAAAGGTTGTTTAGTGTTGAATATGGTTTTTTAATCTTGCACTTATGTATTTGAGCCTTGGAAAAAACCTCTCTACTCCCAAGTAGGGTAAGGTCTGCATACACTCACTCCCTCCAGATCCTACTTTTTGTTGGATTCTACTAGATTTGTTGTTTGTGGGGAAAATCTTAGTCATACATTAACTAATTAATATGCTATGATGACTTCAGTTTGGGCGGATGCCGACACATGGTTTGAGAGACAACAACAAGAGGAGGAAATGCAGAAACTCCAAGCAGAGAACATGGCTGAAATGAAGGCCGCAGAGGAATTACACCGGAAGAAAATGGCAGAGGAGAGGGAAGGTGAGAAGGAGGATGGAGATGTCGTCAATGATGATCCGATGGCACAAGCCGAAGCAGAGGTTTTAAAAGACAATGCATTGGGCTCTTCTTAGCCGCGCTACCAATTTTTGTTTTCAGTGATTGTTATGTTTTCGGGTTTGTGAAAAAGATTCTAGTGTGGCTAGTAGATCTAATGCCGATTAGAGTATTGTGTGTTCGACATTGATCCTTGTGTGGGCATTCATGTGGTGCCATGTCAAGGGCTTGGGTCTAGGGTTACCCTCCAAATGTGAGGATACCAAGTGTGAAAGCCAAAGAAAAGAGAAAAAAGAATTGTAGTTTAACACTATCTCCCTCCTCAGGTTTCCCATCTCTGCATGAATTGGCCTGGCCATTGAAAGCATTACTGGCATGACTTCATATTACATTCATTTTGTCCATGGTACGTGTAAATGCTTCATGCAACATATGGTTGTTAGCTTTGTACATTGTCTCTTTTTGTATCTCTTTTGGCATGTAAGTTACACCCCCTTCAAGAGAGAGACGAGAGACTCATCAATCATGTTTCCCAACATATTTTCGATACCAAAAAACATTGAATTTTAAGGACAACTTATTTCATTGTAAAAGGATGTCTATTTTTTTAATATAAAATGGGTCTAAAGTTTTCTTTAAGCTTTTATTTTTTAAATTTACGTATGTCAAACTCATATAAGCTAAATGTCGTTTAAGATATCAAAACACATATATTTCAATTTTTTTTGTAATTGTACTCCGTATTCACTTTGCAGTCATATTTTTTTCTATTTTTATGTCGGTATTGAAATCTTAAATTTCTATCATTTACTTAACTTAGCTGCTTTGAGTTTAATTTTGGATAAGAAACTTAAATTTTAGGTTATTGTTTATTTTGGACGCTTCGAACTCCACAGTCAAAATGCATTGTACACGTTTTTTCTTCTGTTTAATGCATTTAATCCATATATATATATATATATATATATATATATCAAAATCAAATAAGTCAAGCAAGAATTATAACAGCATTAGCAGGAATGGTCTAAAAAACTCATCCATATACTTGTTGCCTCGTTGGGACCTGAGACGATCCTGATATGACTCGGTCCAATTGACAACAACAGATCCAATGAAATCACACAAGAAATAGTCTCGAGGGGTATGGACGCAGACCTCACCCCTACCTGGAGAGACTTTCCAAGAGACCCCGCCGGCTCAAGCGAGACCCAAAATCGACCGAATGGGACAAAAATGAATACAATGCAAACACATATTCTCTTATCTTACAAATGGAAATGCTACATGTATACAACAAGATTTTAGTTCATGAGTTGTGTTTCCATGATTCTAAGGTCCACAAGTGAAATGCTGACTTTCTCACACTTTGTATGGGCTTACAAGTTGATCTTTTCTGTTTTGCAAAAAGCCCAATTCTATCATAGTGATCATGTACTAAGGTGCATAAAATGAGTATGATCAAGGACCACATAAGACTTTCTTTGCCTTAATTGAATAAAAAAACGTACATTCGAAATTGATTCGACCTAGAGCCTTAAAATAGTTCTCAGTGTGTCACAAAGGTTTTGAATGGTCTGTTGTTCTTGTGTAGCTTGCATTTCTTGGAGAGGCATCTCTTCATAGCACCTGAGATTATAATGAGAGTTCAAGGGATCAGTAATTTCAATAACTAACAAAAGAATGAGGGGGGAGGGGCAAAACTTTTGCTCTATGATTCGAAAACGTTTTCCCGATTTTCTTGTGTTTGGATGCAGAAAACCTTTTCCTGGAAGAATATTTTCCCCGGATCCTTTGCATCCAAAAGGGAAATTTACTCTCCTCAACCTCTTGGATCATTTCTTTTATGGTGAAACACTAACACCATGTTTGGTTCAAGGAATTCGAAAGGAAAGAAAAGAAAATGGTTTTTCCTCACTTTCCTCACCAAAATGTAAGGAATTTGGTTTTCTCTCCTCTTAATATATTTTGCTTTATTATTTTTTTTCCTTTTAATATTCTTTTCCTCTAACCAAACGAGAGAAATGTTTTCTTTCTCATTTTTTTTCCTTTTCTCTCAAATTCCTTGAACCAAACATTGTGTAAAGCATACAATTTCTGTGAAACGCTGAGTAAATGAGTCAAAGGTCATTCATACATCCTGTGATAGGCCAATGCCTGTGTGAGATTCATTAGCGAAGGACTGGAGGTTAATCTCCTGTATAAACTCGGAGGAAGTGGAACCTGTGACCAATTGTGTAATGTCATTAGGAAGCTGACAATGAGGGTAAAACAGGGAAGGAAAGAAACAAACAGACAAAGAAATAAAGAACCTCATTTTGTCTAGTTCGGCCCTTCCTTAACTGAGCATCACCGGTTAAGAGTTCCTGAACTGCATCCACGCCTATGTTCCCACTAGCATCTCGTTGCCAACCACCGAGCACATTTTCAGACAACAGTGCAACAGGTGAAATATCAGTTGCCCTCAGAAAGGGAATTGGTACTGTGTTACCAGCAGAGTATATTGACCAGAGCTAGCGGCACAAACAAAGTAATATAAGCATAATGAAACGGTCCCAAGCAAATGCAAAATTACAAAATTGGGAGAGGGGGGGAGGGGGGTACCTTATCCATAGCTTTCCTATTGACTGTTTCATTCTTCACTGGACCTCCGCTTCGCGTGAAGTTTCCTTTCAGATCATGATCAGGGGAAGGAATGATTGCAGGCGGACTTGTTTGAACGTGTATATGTTGAGGTGTCCCTATAGGGGAGCTAACATTAATCTCGTTTTGCGTCCTGGTTTGATCAATTATTCACATTAGATAAATTTTCCACCTCCACCTTCCTTTTACACTTAATATCTCATTATTTCAATTAGGGGGAACCTTTGATACCAGTAATGTGTTACTTCCTTCATATTAAACAATTTTTCAGAATAGTCATGAGATTCAAATAGTAGCGGGCTAGTGGCTGATTAAATTAAGGTTATATTTTCTGCATGGGCATAAATATAGATGCTGGACCATAAAATATTTGGTGGTAAGCTTTATCGGACTATGCAAACCACCCCTTTTAGTGGGTAGCATCAATGAAAAGAGAAACTACCAAGGTTCAGGTTCTTCACGACCAGGGGTACAAGCACTTTCACCATTCCTGAGAGTAGCTGATGGCTCAGCATTTGTATGTGGAAGGTGAGTAGCTGTCTTGTGTATGTCAACTCCATCTCGGATTATCATGGTCCCAAACTCACCTGATAAAAGAGCCCCACGGACCAAAAAAAGATTTATTTTTACTCAGAAAAATATGTATTTCCAAGAAGGTAGAACAAGCTTCTTGAGTAAACTTGCTTGCAAGATCAAAAGTTTAGCATAAAGGACAGAAAACATTTCATAACAAATCAGACAAGAATCCAGAGATCAGCTTGGTGACATATCCAAAATGTTTGACTGCATTAACCTAGGGAATAAGGTCAAATGTTTAACAATAGGAGATGCCATATTTAACAGAATGAAGTGAGTTTTTTTACCATCTCCAGTAGGCTCCACCAAGCGTTGAGAACCGGTTGCAGGTGACACTCCATAACCAACATTAGCTTTAGAGGGAACAGTATCACCGAATTCTTCATTTATTTTTATGCCACCTAATACCTGCAGCAGCACAAAAATGGAAGGAAATCTTAAGGGATAGAACCATCCACTTTGCCTCTTTGTAGGGAAAATGATTGCTCAGTATTTTATATATATATATATATATATATATATATAGGGATTGACTCCAGTCAGATGACAAGTTTCGGTAAGATGACACTTTCGGTCAGATGACAACGTATGGTTCATTCTGGATCAACGTAGTGTTCATTCTAACTCAACGTATGGTTCATTCTCACACAATTGTCCATCACAAAGTACTGTTCATTTAGGAAAACATAGTGTTCATTCCAAGTGAGGCAATTGACAACATAGGGTTCATTTTGAATAACATGATGTTCATTCTCAAACAATGTAGGATTCATTCTCACACATTTGCTCATTATAGACTTAGTACTCATTCTAAAATAACATAGTACTCATTCCCAGTTTTCTTAGCAAAGTGTTCACTCTGAAACAACATAGTGCTCATTTTCAAACAAGCTAGTGCTCATTCCAAAGCATGTCATCTGACTGAAAGTGTCATCTGACCGAAACATGTCATCTGACTGGAGTCAAACCTATATATATATATATATATATATATATATATATATATAGAGAGAGAGAGAGAGAGAGAGAGAGGATGCATCATGGCATCATGCATATATGAGCCAAGAATTGAGGCAAAATTTAATCCATACATCTGAGCCTGGTAAGGGGGGTTCTTGAACAATATTTTGTGCTTCCAAAGCCATTGACGACCGTATTTTCCTCGCCTGCTCAATCTTGGAAACCATAACAGATGCTCTGGTTTTGCATTTCTCGATAAATTTGTGCTTTGAAAAAGAAATTAAAAAAAGAATAAGGTAACATAAAATCAACTCAAAAATTATTGAAGTATGCTGCATAGCTAGATGCATGTTTACAGCTCCATCCTACAATTTATAACTCTGAGTACTTAAATTGCTCTACAAGATTCCGCATGTTTCTTTTCTAGTTGAATACACTCGTGGAGCTTTGAAGGCACAAGTGCCATAGTAACTTTTGCATATCCTGAATCAGGTCCGTTAATGTACATACGGTCACATAATGATTGGCCCAGTGTTTTGGTGGTTGGTCTTTATCCTGGGTTGTGGGGAGCTAAATCAAGTTCTCTTTAATCAACCCAATAATGCAATTTACTTTTAACAATCTAGTGAGTACCAAATCTGGGCAATGGAATGATGTATCATCAATAAAAGAGTTAAGATATAGTCTTTGTCTATTAAAACAATAGTGTACCTTAAGCATCTCTGCTGCAGTTGGACGAAGACGGGGGTCCTTAGTGAGGCACTTTGCAATAAAGTCATGAAACACAAGAGACCTGAAGTGATATACAGATGTATAAAATAAACTTACACGTTACTACTTATTTATCTTCCATAATGAAGTGAACTCATTCAGGATTTCACGCAAACTTCAAATTATGAGATGTGAAAGTATGTACGTAGGAGAAAAAAGATAATGACCATAGTCGAGTAGCAAATGTGAGCCAATTATCATCCACACTGAATCTCATAAATCATCTATGAATAAAAAAGAAAAGATTGAAAACAACGCCAACTATAGTAGTATTGAACTGTATCTATAGATCATACAAAGGCAAAATCATTCACCAATGTAAAGGATAGATTCCCAAATTTTCATGTTTCTTTCTCTTCTTATGCTGATGCTCTAGCCCATGAATCCAAACCCATTCTTACACAAATGCACAAACTTTAACTATCAGTATTCAATTTACAATGTTTTTAAGAAGTATAATGCAAACAGGCTAAAAGCCACAAGTTATGTATAAGCTCTAAATGCATGTTCACAATGAAAATTTGAAATAAGAGTTGAAAAGATGGTACACTTCATTTTGAAATGGCCCAGCGCAGTTGAGAAAAAATGTAAAATGCATATGCTATTTTGGAAGGGCGTGTGTAGCATGTTTGAAGAGTAGGAAATGGGAAGTGCATAGGAAGAAACAAAAGGAAAGAACAAACTCTAAAGCAACCTAGTCTCCTCGGAGCTTCTAAGCTTTGTTTGAAGCAAAGTATCACTTACAGAGACTAAAAGTCTAAATCCATATAGCACTAAAGACACTGTAAATACTTTCTCTAAGATAACATGAAATTGTGCACTGCAAATAGTAAATATTAAAATCTAGATCCCAAAAAAAGTTATAGGATGTATAGGAAAAACTCAATTCTATAGTAAAATACAACTTCAAGTGTTGCACCAGGGATCAAAGTGCTAATCTAAAGAATCACGAAAAATACCATTTCTCTTTATCCTCAAGCATTGGGGCTGGTTCAATTGATATCATAAATAGTACCTACCAAAATGTAAAATTGCATGAAGTCTCTGAAGGGCATTGCTTAAAATTGCAAATAAAGAAAGAGATTCATGCATATGTTTTAGAGCCACTCATTACATGCATAGAAGTTCAAGAATGAAATGTGAATTGACCAGTCATTTAAATCTATGTTCTATATACATGCTATAGTTATTTAAAA